AATGCTATTTATGATTACTACGAGTACTATGTAAGTGTTTACCATGCCCATAAGCAAGCAACTGTTGTACTTTGACATGTGAATTTTGCTTAAATATCTATAGACCAATAAATTGAAAGCAAATGTTCATACAAGGAGAGGAGCTCTGAATGGCTTTCTTTGTACCTAGAAAACAAGAACTCAAACCTATCGAACAACAAAGAAGGTTAACAACTTGTTCCGAGATATAGAAGATATAATATTTCTGTTTCCAGGCAATCTCAACGATAAGGCATTCTGGTACCCCTACTAAGCTGGTAGATATCATCATCGATATGGAAGTACCCAGGTTAGCTGGGTTAAGAAAAACAATCCGGGCACTTCTGTTTCGCACAGGTGGTTCCAGGGCTTCTTTTGATCATTCCCTTATGTAGACAATTGCTTTCAGCCATTGACATCTTCGAACCCGTGATGATGTGTTTTGCACGCCCCCAAATGGTTTTGACAAAGCCGTTCTTGTTTACCCCGTTTCAGTAATCCTGATTGCCACTGTCCTGGCTATGAATTGGGAAACAGTACATAAGAGAGAGTGGTTCACACAAAAAGAGATAAAGCACCCCGATACATCATCATGGTTCTTCTCCGAAACCGCCCAAGTTCGAAGCGCTCAGAAGCACTATTTAATAAGTGATATCACCCCCAACAATATAAATAGAATCAGCCCCGCCATGTTGAAGAAGAAGATGGCTCGTATTGGATCAACGAGTCAGAAACACTCGGCAGATAGAATCAATCATATCGAGACAAAGACAGCCTCGTCAGCCAGAATAGCAAACGACGGTCCACTATCGCGAACAGATAACTTTAATTCTATTGCAGAGAATGCACATCCAAGTTACCGAGCGAAGGCTAGAGCAGAAATCTTGCTGCAGGCATTGTACCGCCAGATCAATATGTGTGCCCAAGTCCAATTGCTGAGTGTCCGGTTAACTCGTTCGAGCCGGGAAGCACTGACGGACAAAACGAGAGAGAAGGACATGCTGAATCAGAAATATGCTGTGAAAGCACTGGGTATGATCATGGAGGCCAAGGGCACTATGGTCGGAAGAAAGCGGCGGAAATCTGTGAGAACTGCATCTCATCAGCATACCAAGAGGCGCCAGAGGTCGGGGACACCCGAGATACTCAGGACAGC